TATATCTCCAAGAGAAATGAAAACATAAGTCTGTACAAAAACTTGTACATAAATGTTCATAGCAGAATTATCAACAATAGCCAAAAAGTAGAAACAACACAAATAATCATGACCCACAATTATCAAAGGAGGAAGCACTGATAAGTAGATAAACTGGGGTGTTTATATGGTAGAATGTTATTTTTGCTATTAAACGGAACAAAGTGCTGGTACACTGTCCAGCATGGAGGATCCTTGAGCCCTATGTTGAGAAAAGGAAGACCGAGCGCCTCACACTGTATGATTCTGTGTATGCAGTGTCCACAATAGAGACTAAAAGTAGACCCATGGTTGCCTAGCCTGGGGGCAGAGGCAGTAGAAAGATTTGGGGTGAGATCTAAAGGCTATTCTATTGCATTTCTTTGGGGACAATATTAATGTTCTAAAATTGATTGTGGTAAGGCAACTCTGAAAACCATGAGACTGGGCAAATTAAATGGTGGGTTTGCATGAATTATGCTCAACAAAGCTGTTAGCTTTCCTAAAAGTGGAGAAAACTTCTTTGTCTCTAATAAGAAAAATAAGTTGAACCAGGGACTAGACACATAGTACATACCAAATTAAATTCTGACCTGATAAAGAGCTAATTGTGAAAACAATGAAATGCAAATAAAACTATAATGTTAAAACTATCATAATGGGAAAGACCTTTTCAAACATAGAAAACATTATAAGGAAAAGTTAATAGGTATTATGACTGTAAAAATTGAAGAGCAGCACGTCACACTTTGAAGACATTGTTTCCCTGTAATTGAATTCACCTTAGCACACCAGCCACCATTTTGCTCTGAGCAGAAAAGCCTAAACTTGGCAATCACTTTTGGCTTTAAGCATAGGTATTTCGGGGCTTATTAAGCCCAATTGATTTAAGATTGGACTAAAGAGGGGAGGAGAAACCGTGGGTGTCTTCCTGGCCTTGCCAAAGGGGCGTCTGGGTTGTGGAGCCGGCCTCTGACCCTCTCCCACCCCACTGGACAGTGGTCCTCCTTGCGCCTGGCCTTAGGCTGTCCTCCCCGCCATGACCTTGCGCACACAGAGGAGTGGCCCACACTACGTTTGCTTCTGTTCCCCAGTGTCCTGGACGCTGCCTGGGCCGTGTGGCAAGGACACAGCAGCATCACGCAGCGTGTGGACCCCACAACAGCTCTGACTCTGACTGCGAGGACAAGAGGTACTGGGGGGCCTACCCCGGGGCAGCCTGGACTCCAACTGCCTCACTCAGGGACCCAAGCTACCTGGAAATGAAATTGTTGTTAGGTTTACCATTTCTTTTCTCTTTCTTCCTTCCTTCCTTTTTTTTGAGACACTGTTTCACTGTGTAATTGAGGCTAGCCTTGAACTCACTTTGTAGCCCAAGCTGGCCTTGAGCTCACAGTGATCCTCCTGCCTCAGCCTCCCAAGTGCTGAGATTACAGGAGCGCACCACGTCTGGCCTACCACTTCTCATAACTGATGATTCCTATTAAATTATGCTGTGTTTAGAGCTGTCCTCAGTGGTATATGCTCTTCTGAACTATTAGTCCATATGAACTATTTATAATTGCAGTTATTTGGATGTTAAGCACAGAAAGCAAGCATCCTAGAAGGGGAAAGAGGGTAACGGTGAGAATGGACAAAAGATTTTTCTCTCTAGAAAAACTTGGTATGAAATATCTCATTTAGTTTTACAGATTAAATCTTCCCAGTGTTCTCATGAACTGTTTTATTCCCCTATTTTGAAACTGCTTTGATCAGGGTGTTGGCATGCTGATTCCTCTGAAAATAAAATAAACCTTTATTTGTGAAGGGCTCAACCGAGAGAGGAGTTGTTTTTGTCACATCTAAAATGAACAGGAAGGTGGTGTAGAGAGCAGAGCTTTGCCTATAGGGTCATCCAGAAACCTAGGCTTTTCCCATCTGGCAGCTCCTGCACTCCAGAGAATGGTAGCCTGCCAGCAGCCAGTGGGAGGACAGCCCAGAGAGCACACAAGCTGGGGGTCTATGGTGTCCCATCACTCTCCTGTTGTATGACCTTGGATTGCCTAGCTACCCCAATCTGCAAAATAGGTTATCATCACCTGGGTGACCTTATGACTAGCATAGTGTCTGTGTCCAAGCAGTTCCACATCTAGCTGTTCTTTCCTCCTCCGCATCCTGAGTGTTGGTGGAGAAAGCAGGATGATCTTGACAGCTGGCTTGGTTACCATTTTAATCCTGCAGGAAGGTTTGGCAGGGAGAGTTAGCTGCATTTTGTATTCCCCCTGATACAGCTGCAAGCCAGAACTCTTCTGTTGGGAACATTTTCCATATCCAACCTCGGCTCCCAGTTTGCTGAGACCATAGAGACCACACACAGATCCCTTTGCATTTGCAAAGAGGTATTTACAACACAAATACCTATGAGTGGGTTGAGCTTTTTATGTTAACCTGCCTTACTTACTTTTCTGAAATTTGCTTTTTCTACCTAAAAATACATACTATTTTCCCGGGTCAGTTATCAAAGATTGACCTTGTGTTTTTTAATTGCTGTATTTAATATTCTATTATTCCATTGCAATGGACGTTTGATTGTTTCGTATTTTTTTGCTATTACAAACAAGTGCTGCACTTAACATCCTGGAACATATATCTTTATGCATGAAAGGAAGTACTTTAATGGGATAAACTTTTAGTTACAGAATTAAATTGATAAGCATATTCATCTGGATACTACCAAACCGCCATCAAAATGCCTTCACTACCACTATGTGAGACTTGCCCCTGTCTTCACCAACATTACATACGCTTTCACTCATTCAAAAAGTTTTTGCCAATCTGATAAGTGAGAAATTATATCTCATCATAATTTGTACCTTTCTGATTACTTTTTATATTAGATGCACTTTGGCTCCTTGATTTTTTTTTTTCTTGAACCCATCTTCTTTTTCCATTTTTCCACTGTTACCCTTGGCCAGGCCACCTGGCCATCTCGCACCTGGTCACAGCTGCTGCGGCCACCCTGCTGGGCTCCCTCCACCCACCGATGCTTGTTTCCAACCCAGCTCCTGTACTGCAGCCGAGCACGTGTTCCAGGAGGCAAATCTGATCATACCACCAAGTCCCTGCTAGATTAAAGTCATTTTGGAGGCTTTGGTTGTTCCTAAGAAGATGACAAACCAAAATCCTCCGTGTGGCCTAGGAAATACCACTGACTGGGAACAAGAAACCAAGGAAGGCTGGTAGAAACAGCTGCCATGCCTGCATACAGAGAAACTCAGAGTGCTGTGTGCAGAGCTCGATGCCCAGACTGTGCCCCAGCTCACCCACCCCTGCTGGCTGGATGAAATGGTGCCCTCTGCTGGGCCAGCTGTGTGTTCCCTTACTGTATCCCGAAGGACCCGCCTGTGAGCTGAGCTGGGCTCCAGCTTCTGTGCTCCCTGTGAGACTCAGCCCTTGTCCGTAGGACGGCCTTGCCCACCGTCAGAGGAGAAGGTTGTGTTAGCTAAGGCCCTATAGGACAAAAATAAGTCAATGTGGAATGATTTATGGAAAAAGGGCAAGGGGTTTGTGACTGATGAAAGCACCCAACACTTATTATAACAATTGGTATCCTCTTAAATATATACTTTGGGTATTTTTTGAATATTTGTTTAACCTTTTCCAGGAGAAAAGCTGATCTCTGCATAGGGAGATCGCTGATGAGTATTTAATCTTTGTTGTTCAGAGTGACAGTTTTAAGCCCCTCAGATTCAGACCCACTGGGGAAAATGGAAGCAGTCAACAGGACAACCCTCCCCTAACCACCACGCTAAACCTTATGAACAGATGGGTGGAACCATATTGTCTGGTGAACTCTTTGGTAGAGTCTCCCTCTACTGGCTAATATAAGTATCGCTTCCCATTCTGTGTAATACTGGGTCATACTTTTTCTTAGACAAGTTCAGGCTGTCACAATTTTCTTACAGAAGTTCAGGCTATGACAATTCCCAGTGGTGTTTCAACGTTTCTTATAGCTTTGTGTACCCTGATAAGGAGCCATTAGTAGGAGTGCAGAAATATCTTAAAGACTCCAAAGAAGATGGCAGTCAGTCCTCAGGAAGGACTAAAACCAAGAAAAAGGCATTTTGTTTTCTCTCTTTCATCCATGCTGGTGTATGTGTTTTTAATTTAGTCTTTGCTATGTCTGAAAAGTCTTTTTCTCTACCTGTGTAACCCAGCTCAAGTTTATATGTCTTGTTCCAGTAACTGCCAGGTTCCTAAGAGAAGGGCAGTTATTGAACCAGCTCAACCTGGGGCCTCTTCTACTCAGCTTTGGGGCTGGAGAGACTTCTCATTCAGCACCAAGACATCTCCCAAGGTCCTTGCCCTGGGGAACACAACAGATATGCCACCCTCCCATACCCTCCAGGATAAACATCTGCTCAGAAGTCAGAGACCATTGAGTTTCTGCTGGAGAAGGCAGGAGAGTGGGAGGTGTATTCTGCTTCCCAAGCAGTAGCCTGGAGTAGTTCCCAGTTACAAGCTTGGGTGGAGCCCAGTGTTCCTGTGAGGAGACAAGATGGCGCACAGGCGATTGCTTCTCATATGGGAGGGCGTTTCAAGTGCTTATAAAAACAGCAAACTTAAAGCTTGTTAACAGATTTGAAGTGGTTTCTTGGTGACATTATAGTTTATAATTCTCCTGGTTGCCTAAACTGATCCGCTGCAGCTCAGTCAGGAGGGACTATTTTTGGTGTATGTGTGGCCTATTGTTGGAAGTCAGTGGAAGCATGGGGTTTGCAGCCCGAGCCTTTTTTGCCAGGCTGCATCTAGACAGGGACTGTCAGTCCCATGGAAGGGACACTGTCATTGTCATTATGGATTGCATAGCATGGAAGCAAGGGATGGCTCAGTGTGAACTGGAATTGTGGAAGAAAGAGGCCTCATGCTTGCCATCGGTGGGGGAGGAAAGCTCTTCCCAGAGGCAGCTCCGCCTTGGGTCTTGGTGTGAGTGCCCACCTTGGCTGTTGTCTTCGTGGCAGTGGTTCATGCTGCCACTTGGCAGTTCGGCTCCTTGTCGGTTCCCACCATAGTTTTGAACTTTATTTGTTCATTTCACTTCCTCATACCCATAAAAAGGCTTTAATGTGTACCAGATTAAATTTTTAAAAAATAGATCTTCCCTCTTTTCCTTCTATCATGTATTTGTGGCAGCTTCCAGATCCTCTCCACTATATCTAAAGCAATTGGGTGGACTTATAGTCATTTCAGTGGCTTTAAATTAGCTGTGTTCTGAAGTCATCCAGTTATTTTTGTCATGGTCATGATTAGACTACTACTGTGGATAGTGCCCACCAGTGTCCTGATGAATAGGACCCTAACTGTCAAGCCTTTGCACTGGAATACATAGTAGGGCAAATGCCTTTGCCCTGCCGCTCCTTGCTCATATTTTGTTTCCATTCCATTCCAGACCTGCCCTCCGGAGGAACTGCACATCCGGGGCCTGTGAGGTGTGCTGGCGCACAGGGCCCTGGAGGCCTTGCACGGCAGCCTGTGGTCGTGGCTTCCAGTCTCGGAAGGTGGACTGTGTCCACACGCAGAGCTGCAAGCCTGTGGCCAACAGTCATTGCACTCCAAGAAAGAAGCCGACTTCCTGGCGGCACTGCCTCGGGCCTTCCTGCGATAGTATGTACCCTCTCAGGTACCACTGCTGGCCCGTGGCCTGGCCTCCCTCCTCAGTCACGTCAGAAGGGGAGTCAAAGGGGATGTGATGTCCTGGGACAGATCGGCACATTCATGTTCTACAGGGAAGGACCAGCTGGTTCAGTCAGGCCTTCCTGTGTGCCCTCTTCTGAGCCTGGCAGCTTCCTCTGTGGAGCCAGAGAAGCAGTGGCTGGGCTTAGGAGCTGTGCCCACAGGCTGAAGTTATAGGAAACAAGATATATGGTGAATGTTTAAATTTTTAAAAATGTATTACAGTAAAAGATAGATTGCCGTGACTCCCCTTTGAAATACACCCCCTTGCTTTGAGCACACTTATCCTATCTTTCTCACCACTTTCCGAAGCAGCTCTGGAAGTCCTCTTTCTTGAGGGTCTTTATAAAGAGTGATCAAAAATGTGATGATGCAGCTGCTGAGTGCCATCCATTGGAAAGGCAGAATTGTAAAATCAGTACAGTGAGCCCTCGCCCGTCTTATCCACTGGATCTGGCACTACATGACTTCTGGCTTGTCCCCAAAGCCACAATAATCAAGAAAGCTAAACATTCTGAATTGATTCAGGACATTAAAGTAGCCTTGATGGCAAAACGAAAGACATTCACAAAAGAGGATTGAGAGGATTTCTAGAACTGCTTGAAAAAGTGGCAAGTATGATGGACAGGTGTGTTCAAAACGAAGGGGGGATTCTGAGAGAGGTTAATGGCAATGTGTCTTTTATTATGACACAGTTTTAAAATGTAAGTATTCACACTATTTTTGTATCACATCCTACCCATAGCAAATGTCATTGTATGTTACTATTCTAGAGAGCAGATCCATAGCTTTGGTAGGGACACAATAAATACTCCAGGGCTCCATTAAACCCGCAGATGCTCAGGGCTACTTCTCTGAGCTGAGAGGAGCTGTGTGGCTAGAGGACGTATGAGGTCCCAGAGCTTTGTGAGGCCACTTGATTGAGCCAGAAGTGAGTCTAGCGCACTTCTGATTCCAGTGCCACAGCCCAAACCCAGGCTTGTTTCTTCCCTTCATTCCTTTCCCCCATATTATGGCTTTTGGTTGGTGCAGATGACTTTCTTACTAGTTCTCTAATGTGCCACGGGCTAAGGATTTGCTGTCCTTTTCCTGCAGGGGACTGCACCGACACAACTCACTACTGTATGTTCGTGAAGCATCTTAACTTGTGTTCCCTGGACCTCCACAAACAAAGGTGCTGCCGCTCGTGCCAAGAAGGGAAACCTTTGGCAGGGTTGTGACGCCGCCCCAGTTAGAAAGGAACAACATAAAAGGTCTCATACCCGTGTCTCTGGTTGAAAAACACGTATTTCCCGAAGACTGTCGATTCTGTGATTAAACCGAGGTTAATGCAGAACACCACTCTTAAGATTGTATAAGGTGAAATTTTCCCATGGTTGGTTTTCAGTTCAACTCCTATAAATGTTGTATTCTTGGATTAACAAAAACGCCACAGCACATGAGCCAGTGCACTTGGAACCCTTCCTGTCCACCTGATAGAGAAACCACCAAGATCAGGATTGCTTCATCACGAAATGTGACTCACAGCCTAGCACAGAGCAGTGTGTCCTGAAGCCTTGGGAAATGCAGTAACTGCTGACTCCTTCTTCTCTCAAGCTACAGAGATTCAAGAAGTTTATAAGGTACTTACAGTTTTAACGCTTGGGCCAGTAGTTGTTCAGATGTTGTGGCTCATGGCATTTTCATAGATCCTTCAGTCTGTGAAAGTAAGAATCTCCCTGGACAGGTGTATGACACCAGTGGACCCAAGGGGACAGCACCTGATCCTTGCTCTTAGGGCACTCGTGCAAGGGAACACAGTGATTGTTGCTGCCTCTTTCACAAATACAGAAATCTATTCATGACCAAACCAGGCATCTTGGAAATCAAAGAAGAGGGAAGTTCATCTTTTCTATTGATTTTGAAGTATATTGACAGTTTTCTTCTAAGAGCTGTGAATGAAACTTTTTCTAAGCACTATTCTCTTGCACAAAATGGTAATTCAGATCCTTATTAGACCTAATTTATGTGTGGAGTAGCCTTCCTGAGGATTTTTATTTTGGAAAGTTTATAAGAAAATAATCTAAATGAGAAATGTGGTAGTTGAAAAAGAATTGTTTATTGTAAATAACTCTTGATTTGAGTGGATTCTTCAATAAATCCAAAGTAAATTTGGGTTGGATGGAGGTGACACTTTGGGGATCAAGAGGTAGAGGTAGGGTTTGGGTTAGACCTTGGGGAAAATTGGGGATTAGTTTTAGTTTTAGGCTACAGCTAAAATTGGGTTAGATAAGAAAGGAAGTTAAGTTGGGGTGAAGGTTAGAGTTGGCTCTAGGGGTCAGAGTTCAGGTGAAGGCCAGGTTAGGACAGAGCTGGGTGGGGTTCAGGCTGGGGCCAAGGCTGGCGCTGGTCATGGTGTCAGGGTGGAGGTGAGGTCTGGAATGAATGTTGCTGCTGACACAGGTTCAGGCCAGCACCAAACCATAAGCTCCAAAGCTGGTTTGATTATGAGAACCTTTTCCTGGTATTCTACTCATTGTGGCTTTAGAAGGCACAACCCCCAACTAGGTGGTCATACTTTTTCCTTCAGTGTCCTGGCTGCCTGCACCCTGCTGCTTACAGCCTGCTGGCAGCCACGTCTGTGAGGCAGGCTGTACTGGGCCTTGCTCCCCGTCACCAAGCGCCCTGCTTGGGATCTGTGCATGGACAGGCTCGTGCGTCTCTGTTATACGCTGAGCACAACGTCGCTTCTGTTCTGACTGCAACCTCACTGACACTGGGATTAGCACTACTGTATGTGGAGGGTTTGGTGACAGGGAACAGATTCGGGAGTGGGGAGAACACACCAGCCTGTGAGTTGTTGATCGTCAATCACATTTGATTGTGGAAGGTTATTAAATTAAGAGAAAGATCATTCGTAAAATATTCTCTGTATATATTTATTATATGACTTAAAGGTGCAATATTTTATTTTGTACAGTATGTAATAAAAACATGGAACATATATTTTTCTTACTAACAAAATTTCTTATTAAATTGCTCCACCTTTGTATTTAAAGTTAAAAGTTACTGTTTTTCATTTGCTGTTTTACTTTTGTTATCGTCCAGATGACATCCCTGTGTACTGTATTTCACTACTGTTTTTATAATATGAGTTGATGCTTCTCTTTTATGATCCTTAAGTAATTCAGAAATAAATTTACTTTGATATTCAGTGGCATCCTTATAAATGTGGGTGGCTTATTTTTGTTGTGCTTGGGGGTCTTGAGTGTTGCCATCTGGCTGTTATTCCAGTGGGAACCCTAAGCAGTCTGATCCCTGGGGCTGTGCTTCAGAGTGTGAGTTGCAAGATCTAGAACAGACCCCCACTGAACTCCTCTCATGCCATCTTCCTGACGTTTACATCTCTGAGTCACATGTAAAAAGATTTCAAGAACAGAAGAGGTTGAAAGAAGTCCCAAACAGCCTGAAGTGGGTGGTAGTTGTGAAAATAAGAGGTACTAATGTGTGTGTGTGTGTGTTCTTTTCTAAGCTTTATTTTTAGAGTGGTTTTTGGTTCATTGCAAAAATGAGGCAGAAGGTAAGAGATTTCCAGTATACTACCCTCCTCTAATAGGTAAGGGTTTTTATTCCTTTGAGCCTTTTTTCCTTTATATTTGATTTTTCTACAGCTTGAAAATGATATATGTAGGTATCACTTTGTTTCTTTGCATATTTGTTTTCTGTTTTTGCACTTACTCTGCTTAGAATTCTCTGAGTTTCTGGGCCTATTTGTCTCTCAGTGTCTCTCTCTCTCTCTCTCTCTCTGTCTCTGTCTGTCTCTCTGTCTCTCTCTCCTGATCCATGTATTGCATCTTTTGTAGTTTTCTCATAGTTCTTGGATATTCTTTTTCTTTTCAGCCTTTCTCCTCTTTGTTTTTCAATTTTGGTGATTTCCATGAGATGCTGTCAAGCTCAGAGATTGTTTTCCTCTGCTGAATCCAGTTTATTAATGAGCCCATCAAAAGCGTCCTTCATTTTTGTAATAGTGGTTTTTCATTTCTAGTATCTCTTTCTGGTACCTAGAATTTCCATCTCTCTGTTTAAATTGTCCATCTGTTTTGCATGCTATCTACTTTATCCGTTAGAGTTCTTAGTATAGTAATCAGAATTGTTTTAAATTACAGTAAGTCCCTGATTTAAGAACATTCTAGTTGCAAACTTTTGCAGATAGGAATGGAACTCATGTTATGAACATTTGTAGCTGATTTGTAGATAAGAACAAATCACGAGAGCAGCTTATATGTCTGCTGGGCATTGGTCCAGTTGTGCAGCTGTGTGCTTGCTGTGCAGTGCAATAGTGTACTATACTACACTGCTCAGTCAGAGCCCAGGATGTCCAGAAGAGGACAAGCAGTGATGTGGAGGGGATGCTAGGAAGTGCAATATAATCTGTGTCAAAGTTGTGTCAGACACACTTTGTGGGATTTATGGACTAGTCTGGCTTATGAATGATGTTCATTGATAGAAACCACTATAAAGCAGCCCTGAGCAGGACTTAAACTGATCAATTGGCTTTTTTTGTTTACTTGTGAATCTGTCCAAGGCCTAGGCCGCTTGTCTGGAAGTGGACGATGGACTCATAGTAAGTGAAACTCTGTGAGTCACTAATCCCTAGTAAAACGGATAATGGTAGATGAAACCAGAAAGCCTCAAAGGATAAGACAAGATCACAGCCAAGGACAACTGGATCCGATCTCAACTAGATAAAGACTATAGCCTCAGGCATCTCACTTCTGGGTGGATTAATTTAATCCTTATTAAGGATTAATTTGATATTTTACTTGGAGAAGTCATTGAGTAGTTCTACCCTTCTTGAGTACTTCCCTCCCCTCTTCTGATAACCAAAAAAATACAGGCCACCCAGAGAAGGTCTTAGTCTCAGCCCTGAGAGAATCTCAAATTCTATGCGAGGGCTTTGATCTTCCTGGAACCCTGAAATCATTCCATTTGCCTCTTTTTATTTAGCCTTCACCATACACTCATTTGGGAGACTGTGGACCTGATCAGCCCGCAATAACTAAGGGATATTATTAACCTGATAGTTCATAAGAACCCATTCATAAGTCAGGGACTTCTTTCCTGCCAATACTCTTGCCATGTGTAGTTTGGATGCTTGCTCTGTCTTTTAAATTGTATTTTTTGCCTTTTAGTGTGTCTTACAGTTTGTTCTTCATAGTCAGACCTTCTGTGGCAAATAAAAAAATGAACTGCTACAAGTAGGCCTTTAGTAGTGTGGTGGGAAGGTGTGAGAAAATGGGAAGCATTCTACAACCCCATGATTAGGTTACAGTCTTCTAGTGAGCCTATGCCTCTTTGCTATAAATTTCAAAAACTGTTTCTGAGTTTTTCTCCCCTTAAGGTAGGTCAGGATGGCTGGGCTCGGCTGCTGTTACTTTCCTTCTCCCTTATTGGAAGCTAGTGTGGGTTAGAGGTGGTCCATGATCTCAGTCAGATTTTGATCATTATAATCATCCCAGCAAATTAAGTTCTGTTTAACAATCTTCTCCTAAGGGCAGCCCTTGAGGAGAAGAGCAGGGTGCTGTGATATGTTTTAAGATTGTTTCTTTTCCCTACCTGCTGGAAGCACAGCAGGGATTTTCTCTTTTACTGTGGGAACCTGTTCAAGCTCTGAAGGTAAATCTCACAATATGGTGAGTGCTGTTTCTCATGACTGGTCCCTGGAGTCTGCAATATTCAGACTTGTCCATGTGAGACTTCAGCAGCTTTTCAAATACACTTCAGGTTTTCCTTTGGGCTTCCTCTCAACTAGGGTAAGCACGGCTTTCTGTGGTATTCATCCATCTCTCCCATCTGGGAAATGGTGCCTCTCCTGTCTTCTGGATCCAAGAAGAGTTGTTGATATTTTATTTAGTCTGTTTGACTTTATTTGTCAGGCTAGAGTGGTGACTTCCAAGTTCCTTACTTGTGGAACTGCTCACTGCACAGAACTCTTATTTGGGGCCACTGTGAGGTGTGTAGAGATGTTATACGTGTCTACAGCTAGACATTTTACCTACAGTTGGCAGAGAAACCCCTTATTCTACCTTCCAATTTAATCATGAGAAGACATCAGATAACCCCAGGTTGAGGGGTGTTCTACAGAATCCCTGGCCAATTGTTCTGTCAATGGTCCGGGCCAAGAAGGTTCACTCGGGATTCAGGCAGCGTGAAGGAAAGATGCAGAGCCATAGAAATGTCTGACATGCCTTTACTCTGTCAGAGACAGGGGTAGTAACACGGAGAAATCCCACTCCCTTATCCAGTGTACATGATATTGTACAAAGCCAGAAAGCTGCCAAAAAGTTACGTAAGACTACTTGTTCCCACGTTCACTGCTCATGGGTGGGCTGTATGGCATGCTGACTCACCAGCAAGCAGAAGGCCTGAGTCCGCCATCTTGGGTACCCTGACCAAACACCAGTGCTCTTCAAAAACATCAAGGTCTAGAATGAATCCACTTATATGACATACTGAGAGTAGTTAAAGCAGAGAAGCAAAGAATACAAAGATGGTTGCCAGGGTCTAGCGGGGTCGGGGGGAAGGTGTTTAATGAGCGAGTACTTCAGTTTCACAGAAGAAAGTGAGTTACAGAGATGGGGATGGTGACGCATTACTGATGCATCTAATACCACTGAGCTGTATGCTTAAAAACAGTTAAGATGGTGAATTATATGTTGTGTTTGTTTTACTACAGTGTTAGAAGAAGTGGGAAAATCCCGACACTGTCATTATTCTGTTGCTGAGATAGGTCCCCCTTTGGCCAGTGGAAACTCTTTGAGGTTGAATGCACCTACGCCACCTGTGGATACACGTGTGCACTTGTTTTTATTTCTGTGTGTATGAATTCATACTAAAACCTGGGACACTCAGCACAAGAGGGCTCACTTTTGTCTACATCTTTACTCACTTGTAATTTCTGTTTCTGTTAAGGAGAAGCCAGGGTCCATTACTTACAATATATTTTCTTGAGTCCTCCTTAGTATACCTAAAAAGTAGCTTAAATTTTCAAGACATATCCCTGTTAAAGAGAACATTACCAATTGGTGTATGTAGTGATTGTGTGCGATTGTTTTGGTTTTTACACTCATAGTGGCCAGTCCAAATACTGTTTGCCAAATCACTTGGGTCATCTCTTTTCTTCCTAATCCTGTCAGTGTGGCTGTGTGATTAATTTGAATACAGCTGTACTCATTTGTCACAGTCTGCATCCTTTCTTGGGCCCATCCTCTGCTTAGGTTATGATTTTTATAACTTACATACACTATAATGCATTCTGTGGTGTTCTAATGTTTTTTCCAAATTCAGAGTTGTACATCTGCCATCAATATCAAACATAATAGTCCCAGCATCCACAAAATTCTTTTCTGCTGCTTCTTTGTAGTGAGTTGCCCCCATATCCTCTGCACTTCCTTTTACTCATTCATGTATTTTCTGTGTACTTTTGCCTTTTCCAGAAATTCATAAAAGTGGAGTCATACAATATGTAGCCTTTTGGGGTTGGCTTCTTTCACTCAGCAAAACATGTTTATACTTCATGCATGTTTTGGGGAGAATTATAGTTCTTTGAATTGTCTCTAGTGGATAGATGTTTATCCTGTTACCAGTTGGAGGATATGTAGGTTGTCTCCTAGATGATTATGCACAAAGTTCTATGAACATTCACATACAGTCTTTGGTATGAACCCAAGTTTTCATTTCTCTTCGATGGAGCCATTTGCTAGGTGATAGGAATGTGTGGGTAGCTTTATGAGAAACTGTCCAACTGTTTCCCAAAGTGGCTGCCCCAGTCCACATTCCTGCCAGCTGCATTGGCTGTTTGGGTGTTCTTTGTCCTTTCTATTTCCTCCCACCATCAGGTTGGTTTTTTTTTCTTTGGCCGTTTATTTTTTGATAGATTGTAGTTTTAATTTGAACTTCCCTAGTGATTAATGAGGTTGAGCATCTTTTCACAGGCTTCGTTGCCATCTTTTATGGGTTGAATTGCATCTCTGAAAAGTTGAATTTCTTACTCCCGTCGCCTGTGAATGTGACTTTATTAAATAATAGGGTCCTTGCAGATACCCACGTTAAGATGAGGTTATTAAAGGATGCACTCATCTAACTCAGATCCCTATTAAAAACAGGAAATTTGTGTGCACACACAGGCGACTCCCTTGTAAAGATGAAGGCACGGCTCTTACAAGCTAGGGAACCCCAAATGTTGCCAGCAAACCCCTAGGGCTAGGAGGAAGGAATGGATTAGATATTCCCTCACAGCCCTCAGAAGAAACCAGCATTTGATCTAGAGGGCTCTGGCCTCTAGGACTGAGAAGCATCATCTTTCTTTTATTTAAGCCACCTAGTTGGTGGAACTTTATTATAGTACCCCTAGACAAGTAACTCACCATCTCTAGGTGGTGAAGCATTTGTTTACAACCTCTGCCTGTTTTTGTGGTTCATTTTTCTATTACTTGCTTACTCCCTTCAAGTACCTACTAACCACATTTTCTTGTTAATCACTATAGTCCCACCATGGCCTAAAACAAAGTCTGAATGAGGATACCAGAGGTCACCAGAGAGCAGCTGTGTGCTGTGGTTGGGGTTGAGTTAGGAAGAGATGACGCTGATGAAAGTCGTGTGTCTGTGATGCAAGGTGAAAGTCGGCGCCTCCACATAAAAGAACAGAGTAGACAGAGAAAAAATCTACAACCTTCTTCACAAAATAAAAGAATCTTGGCATTGCATTGGACACCATGGTCCTTCATAGTCTTTCAAAGTTTGCTGGTTCATGATTTCAAGATTGACTTTCCCGTTCTCTGCTCAACCTACGAGGTTTCTTCTCTCTGTGAGTGATTCTCAGAGAGCTTTAGGTCTGTGGTTTTGCATAAAAGAAAACCTGTCCATTAGCTAGAGTAAGAAGCTGGGGTGTGAGATTCCCAGTCTGTAACTGGTGAACATCCCCTCTAGTCTTTCTGGCATGAAGATGTTTCTTTTTTAATCATACTTTACTTTTGAGAACACTTTTAGGTTCACAGAAAACTAAGTGGCAAGTACAGAGACTTCCCATATGCCTTGAGTTCCTCCTCCCAACCCCCAGTAGACTGTCAGCCTCTGGTCAGAGGTGCTCATCTGTTAGCAATGATGAACCATGTGCTATGTGGACACCTTGCCACCAGGTGCTCACAGTGGACATCAGGGTTCACTCTGTGTTGTCTGTGCAGTTAAAAAAAAAAAGAACCAATAAAGCCTCCATTTCTGACTTCTGAGTCTTCGGTCTTATTTCCCTCAACAAGAGTATGCAGAAAGCCAGGGTGGAAACGGGTTAGAGTGGAGGTAGAAATTTCCCACCAACTTTTTTCTAGAACCTGGCGAGATGCTATGTAATATTAAGCTACCAAGGCTGTTAAAATATGTATATGTGTGTGTGTATGTGTGTATGTGTGTGTGTGTCCGTCTGTCTGTGCCTGCATAGTATTTCATGGAGACTAAACAGGAAGGCCTGGGGATTCTCAGCTCTGCACTGCCGCTATATCTTGGAAGTCTCTTTAAATGATGCACATGATACACTGATACATGCTGTGTACCTGTGTTCATGCTATTCCTCCCCACTTTCCTTGAGCTGGAAAATTCCTACTTTGAAGATTCAGATGGTGGTTATCTCCCTTAGGGAGGACTTTGCTGAGATCCTGGCTTGAATGGCTTACGCTGTACTCTCTTCTGATCTCTCTTCATACTCATTCTATTGAGTATTAGTTTATATTGTAAGGCGGCATCGTTTTTCCATCACTGTGTCTCAATCTATGGCACACTGCCTCAGGAAACCCCAGCAAATGGCTTATTAACAGTGCCCTTTGTCCCAAGGAGGTGACCAACCCTACCCATATTATAGGAGAATTTGACACCCAGCACTAGAATATGGGCCAGGATGAGAGTGTGCTGTCATTTACATAATTTCACATCTTAACTGCATAATAATGCTTTCTACTTGAAAATATAAATATACACTTATGTACAGGTTAACCTAGTCAGGAATTTATTAAAATGATTTCTTTTCCAAAGAAATTTGGATATAGAAATGATTTTATGAAAACCCAATGTTTTTATTGATATTTTATTAATATTGCATAGAAATGTAAATATAAAGACTAATAAATGTAAATATAAAGACAAATTACTTTCAAATAATCATAAATATTTAACTAAATATTTATTAATTTAATCTCAATAAAGTATATATTTTGAAATAATTGTGAAGCCGTAAGACCAAACTTCACTTTATGCTAAAATAAACTGTATTCTTCCATAATGCAACCATTTATAACAACACCCAATAGGAGTCTAATTCATTAGGAAATTTCCAGCCTTTGAAAGTGTAATCTGTTATCACTAACTTCTCTCTTTGCCTCGTTTCTTAGCATTTATCTTCTTGCTGCAAGTGGTGAATTCGTTGATTATGCCCCATGCTGGGCCTGGGCCTACCTTTAAACAGTGAATCTAGGTGTGGCAATTAGGGGCATAATCACCCAATTTATCCTGAAGACTTCTTCAGAGCGGTCACACTTCCTAGATAATTACCCTAAATCAAAAGGATGAATAAGATATAGAAAGTAACTGAATGGTTTATTATTAATAATCTCTTATAGTTGTGCTTTTATGGATTAAAGTGTGTTATAGGATTTGATACTCAAAACAAACTTTGTGTGAGGTATGTGGAAAAGAATCCTGTTACACATGAAGAGACAGAGGCTCAGAGATGGGAGTCCTTTGCAGAAGACGGCACAAACAGAAAGCCATGGTTCTAGAACCAGAACTCCGTCCTCTGGTTCTCAGCCCAGAGCTTCTCCTTGGCACAACGCAGTACCTCTCACTAACCTGAGCACGGGGAGGAGCAACAGCCTCGAACACAGCACTACAGGTGACCTGCAGCCCGGGGAAAACAAATCCCTATTGCCATGGAAGAGGAACTCGTTCTCAGTGTTACTCCAGATAGTCCCAGTGTGCCTGATAAATGACAACTGGTATGTGAATAACCATACAATTACCATAATTATAAACAAAAGCATAAATGGCAATAGATTGATAATACATTATCAAACATGTCAAACAGTATGTTAAGAATTAAAATAGTTCAGGTAGAAATATACAACTTTCAGAAATACATGTTAAAAACAATCTTGATTAAAATGAGTAAAAATTTTAAGTTCTGATCTCCTCTAATACATTTTACCATTTACTTTTAAAAGCTACACATATCTCTCATAATTTTTTCACTTAAATTTTGAGGTTTCCTTTGGAAAACCAATGCTTTGTTAGCTGCCTTTCAAACATGATTTGATGATCAGAAAGCCTTCACTGCAGGAGTGATCTTGCGGAAGAATTTATGACCTTGGAAGTTTGTATTTTCAAATATATAACCTGGAGGAGTGGGATAGCTAGCTGGGCAGATTTCCTGTTTCTTCGGGGCATACTCTATGGAGTACATGGTGACATCATCAAATGGAACAGAACTCTTCACTGCAGCATTTAAAGGTTTGCAGCTCTCGGTTGGAATCAATTCATGTGGCACATAGTGAGATCTGGAAGTGCTCAAACCATCAAATATTCCAGATGGGTTGGGAATCTGCTGCTCTTGCTTAATAAGTCCTGGACGACAACTTTCCCATGCAGGAAAATCTTCCTTCATGGTGCTTTTTCCTTGGAAAGGAAAATTATTTTTTCTTCTTTGAGAAACTGGTCTGATGGGAACAACACGGCTTGCCTGATAAGGAGGGTAGTCAAGATGGCTTGTGCTGTATAACTGCATGCTCCCTGTAGGGGGCACATACTCTGGTACTTTCTTGACTTCAGGTGGTGGGATTTCCCATGGTTGGAAACTTTCACGGAATTCAGTGCTTCCTTCGAAGTGAGCATTGTGGGTCACTCTGGTGTAGGCTGGTCTGCAGATTTTTGCAGTTTCACCAGCAAGACCCTGAAAGTCATTCCGCTGTGTGGTGAGAGTCTCAAAAGGCAGGTCAGTTGGCTTGTAAACTTCTTTTGGCCTTGCAAACTTGACTTCTAGCTGATGAGGTATATAGTCAAGGCGATGACTTGTATCACCATTGAAAGGGGCTGTGGAATGTATGGGCACAGAAGAAGGTTTAAAGCTTTCCCTGGGCTTTGTCTTCTGAGGAACATAATCATCCTGAAATGTAGTTGTGTTTCCAAATTTCACAGTTGGGGGATGGTAAGTTTGCTCTGGTTTACAAGGTTCACTTTTTTGAACGTCCCAAGATCTATAATCATCTTAAAAATTAAAACAGAACATTTTTAAATGCTGAAGAAAACAGCTATCCTCTAAGAATCATGATTGATTTCTCATAGCTGAACATCCTTCATTTTTGTTAGAAATCCAAATGATAGCATTAAAAATGAAATTTCTAATTCCCCTCAGATTTGTTCTTTTTTCCTTTACTTCCACCTTCCTCTACTTGTCTCCTCACTTTAGTACACTGAACTTTCTACTTCCAGATTCATCTGATTACATAGAAAGGAATGGCATATCTGAGTCTGGCTGTAGATTACTGAGGGCCAAAAGGACTCTGGTATAACTAAGAACAGAGTGTAGGAGATTATGGTCATATGCTCAGGAACTGACTAGGATTTTCACTGTAACTCAAACGCTAAGGTAAGCCATAAAATCCAGGGGTTAAAGTCAAGTGCCCTGATGTATGGGCAAAAATGTAGAGAGACTGTAGGGAGACTCCTCCACAGAAAGGGAATTTCAACTAAATCACACAGCAAGTAGCTCATGGCACTCCTTCAGCAAAGACAGGGTAACTTGTACTATCCTAGAAACATCATTGGGTTCAAATCTTCTTCTTGAAAGGGACTTTAAAACTTTCTCAAAAGAGAGAGGGCTGTCTCTAGGTCAGGGGCCTAAATAGTGCTTTCAAAACCACTTAACACTGATGAAGAATTTAAAAGTGGACAAGCGAGCTAAGATCTGAGATTTAGAAGGTCCATACCTTAAACTTGCTTCTTGCAGATTACCTAGACCATGGGTGAAGGACTGCAATGTTTATACTTCAACTGGGGGTTTAGATTGTTTCTCTATGAGAAAGGTAGTTAGTTGAGGAATTCTATAAAATTGGCATCACAAAAATATATGTATTTCTAAATACCAATCTATAAAAGACACATTTTTATATATGATAATGTATTCAAATATGGACTGGGCAATGTCTACTGGAATAGCCAAACCCCGAATGCTCATTATATGGATATCTCCTTCCAAGATAAAACTTCCTCATCCATAGATATTGCTGCCAAAAGGGCCAACTTTTGGACAAATGATTAAGCCATTTATGTCTGTATATGAGTGAATGCCTGACTCAAGAACAGACTATCTTTATGTTTCCAGATACCTGTGAAATACACTGGTAAGAAAAGATGAGCTAGCTCAAGCAGTCCTGTTTTGGGACCTAAAGTTGAAAATAAGGAGACGGACAGAGAGGAATCTAAAAGGATATTGGGAGGTAGAGCTGGACAGCAATGGTAGGAGGAAGTTATATTCAAAATAGACTTTTAAGGAGGCAAAAACGATAAATAACCAGAAGGGTCAGTTGGCAGAGTGGCAGTTGGAGCACGTATGTAAAGGGAAGGGGCTGTAACACAAATCCCACAGCTGGCTGGAGATGAGAGAGGATCTCTTCTCTCAAGCTCCCTCCATGCCTGACAGTTTTCCATTTCCAGTTCACATGCTGCTTTGCTACAGTCTTTTTTTCCTAAGGTACCATGAAAAAAATCTCTGTTCTTCTAAACTTAAGTACGAACTCTGAAATCACATTGCAATAACAAAAAGGAAATTAGAAATATTACTGAAGGTCTATAATTCTACACAATCATACAGGGAGAGGTCTTGCTGCCAAAATGACTAAGAGAAAAAAGATGTTCAAAAACAAGAAATGGAACTGGGTGTGGTGGTGCACACCTGTAATCCCAGCTACTCAGCAGGTTGAGGCAAGAGGATTGAAAGTTACAGCTCAGACTGGGCAATTTAAACCTTGTTGAAATGAAATGAAAAAATATATATATAAAATAAAAAAATAAAATGGAAGAGGGCACAAGAGGGGAGAAACAATGTAAATAAAAGTTTGTAAGGTCTAGAGTGATGCCTCCTCTATGATTTGAAATTGCATTTTTGATTTTGAAATTGCATTTCTTTTTTCCCTTGGTTTAATTCACTTTATTATTGTTGAACAGAATGATCTTTTAATTTTACCATTTTTCTGTATTATTTTCTATTTTCAAATGCATTGTTTGCTGCCCTGTATTTCTTCCTTCTTTGGATTTTGTTATGACTTGTCTGTAGATGTCCCATGTGCTCAAAGGTGGGGCTTTTCAGATCTGGCTGGATCTAGGGCATGTGATACTGGGATTGAGGGTGTGTGATACTACTCTACTAATAAAAATTAGCATAGTTCTGGGTGGGGATGAATGGATTTATTGCAGACATAAGCTCCACCCTAGATGTGGGTGGCACATCAGGCTACCAAAAGGCTGGTAGCCTGAACGGAGTAAAAGAGACAGAAAGAAGGCAGCCTTGCTGGTGCTTGCTGCCTCGCTGCCTTCTGTTTGCCTTACCATGGGCTGTTTCTCCTCTGTGATGCTCCTCTGCCATGGAGCCAGCTGATTATGGACTGAAACCTCTACAAACTGTGAACTGAAATAAACCCTTCCTCCCTTAACTTGTGAGTGATGGGTATTCTGTCCCAGCAATTAGAGTAAAATACATACACATCAAGACCTCCCCAAAAATGTAAAACTAAAGGGAAGAGCAAAAAGGGTGAAAATGATCAAAGTATGTTAATTGCACATACTAATCTGTCAAAATAAAACTCATTAATCTGTATAACCAATAAAGAAGAGTGCAAGAAAAGCAATTTGCTTTTATTTTTATAGTTTCAAAAGATAGGGGCTTGAATAGTAAGACTTCTTTCTTTTCTAATATGAACATTTAGTGCTATATGTTTCCCTTAGCATTGCTTTAGATCCATCCCACACATGGTGATGAAATATTTTTCCATTTTCATTAAATTCAACATATTTTCTAATTTTTTACTTCTGCTTATAGCCATTTGTTGTTTAGAAATATGTTGTTTAATTTAAAAATGTTTGGGGATTTCCAGATTTCTTTTCATTATTTTTGTCTAGTTTAATTTTTCTATGGTCAAAAAATATACTCTGTATAATTTCTTTTGTTAAGGCTTGTTTTACAGCTCAGAATATGGTCTATCCAGATTAATGTTCTATGTGAACTTGAAAACAATATGTATTCTGTTATTGCTGAAAGAAGTACTTTATAAATGTCACTTAGGTCAAGGTTTTAGTGGTGTTGTCAAGATTTTCAGATCCTTAGTTTTCTGTGTGTTCTATAGACTACTTAGAAATGAATGTCAGTCTTTAGGTATAATTGCACATATTTGTATTTCTCATTTTAGTTTTGTAAGTTTTTACTTCACATATTTTGAAGTGCAACTGTTAGGAGATATGCATTTAGGAGTGTGTGTGTGTGTGTGTGTGTGTGTGTGTGTGTGTGTGACTAAACTGGCCTTTTATCTTCAGCTAATATCCCTCTTTATCTTTAGTAATGTTCCTTGTTTTGAAGGTTTTTTTCTGATATTAATATAGTGACTTTTCAGCTTTCTTTTAGAGTTTGTGCAGTACACATTTTCCTACCTTTCTATTTTTAATGTATCTATATCTTTGTACTTAACATAGGTCTTAGTAGACAATACATGGTTGTTTTCTTCTTCATGTATTATGACGGTCTCTGTGTTGTAATTAATATGCTTACACCATTTATTTTAACATAATTTTTTTTGTTTGTTCAATCAGTTCTATGTTCATTTCCTTTTCTTTTTAAAAATCTGCTTTTGGGTTAACTTTTTTTTTTGTACTGGGAATTGAACTCAGGACCTTGCACTTGCCAGGCAGGCGCTTGTGCCACTGAGTACATGCCCAGGTTTTTTTTTTTTTTTTTTGGAGACAGGGTCTCATTATGTAGTTCATGCTGGCCTTGAGCTCACTATGTAGCCCAGGATGGCCTCAAACTCATAGTGACCCTCCTGCCTCAGCCTCCTGAGTGCTGGGATTATGGGTGTGTTCCAACACACTCAGTGACATTTCATACTTTTAAAATTAAGATGTATGTTTTGACTTATTATAGGATCTGTCTGACCTGTTCAAACTTAAATACTTTTACCACTTAAATAGAAGGACTTTAAATAGAAACACTTAAAAAGAAGGACTCTGGTTCAATTTCAATTATTTTATACCATTATTCTAATATGTTTTACTTATACATTTTTCATTATTATTGTGACTTTAAGAAGTCAATATTCTTTTATGTTTTGCCCACGTTTTCCATCTCTGTGTGCTTCATTCTTTCATACATTTCACGCATCTATCTTGAATCATTTCTTTGCTCTTGAACTTTCCTCAATACTTCTGTAGTATAGGTCTGCTGCTAATGAATTATGTTTTATTTCCATTTGTCTGAAAACATCATTACCTTGCCTTGTTTTGTTTTTGTTTTTAATTTTTCCTTACCATATCTTTTGAAATATATTGTCATTAGGTACAAAATTCTGGGATTCACTGGGTTTAAAATTTATAATATATAAATATTAATATATTTTTCTTTTAGCAGTTTAAAGGTGTCAGTCTCTTGTCTTTGGTATATGTAGAGTTTCTGTTGAAAAGTTAGGTATAGTTCTGTTGAAAAGTCAGATATAATGTTTATTTTGTTTTTTAGATGATCAGTAGCTTTTCTCTTATTATTTGTAAGAATCCATCTTTATTTGATCTTCAGAAGTTTGAAAACAGTTACCTAGGGATGATTTTCTCTGTGCTTTGGGGGAGCTATCTGAAACTTTTTGAATCTGTGGGATGATTCTATTTATCAGTTTTGGAAGTTTCTTGACCATTATGTCTTCAAGTATTTCCTGATTTTTCAGTTTTTTGTTTTGTGGGTTTTTTTTTTTTTTTTTTTTGAGACAAGGTCTCACTATGTAGTTCTGGCTGGCTTTGAACTCCTTATGTGGTTCAGGCTGGCCTTGAACTGCCACAATCTTTGTTCTTTCCTGTATTAGCAGACAGGATTTGGAGATCACCTCAACCCAATGACAAACTGAGCCAGATCAGCAGTCAAAGGCATCTTTCGTAGATACAGTCTTCTTCTAGTTTCAGATGTTTTGAGGGCAAGGTTTGAGGTCACTTGAGGTAGGGCCTTCATTCTTTGGGACCTTGTTTCCTAAGCATCTACACTCATACCAGACTATGGGATATTTCTGTGAGATTTTTCTCTTCTACTGACTCTCAGTCCGTGTTCCCTAAACACTTAAGTGAACTTCCCACAAAGAGAATCATCCACGTGTCTGGGGTCCTCCTAGATTCCAATTTGTCATACCAGCCCATATATCAAGCATTCTGATGGGTGCTTTTCCTGCTAGAACCCATCCAGCTCTGGCTATGCCCTGGCTAATGCCTGTTAAATCATTAGCCTAGGCCTACAGTTGACAAATGTTCCCACTGAAGTAAAGTGTTGGCTATTTAAGCTCAGCTAGGAAAAGATCCTCCCTTTCTAGAATTTAGTTCTTTGCCTCCACAGCTGTCTGATGGTATTAAAAAGATTTTTAAATTTTATACCTTCTTAAAACATTGTTGTAATCAAAACCATGGCTTTCTGCCATCTGCTGTATCCTACCTGGCAGCAGAACCCTACAAACATTTGTAACGTGTCCCTCAACCTGACAATTAAGGCTCATTCCAGTATGATCTCAACCCACATGTGTAGAATTATACTCTAATTTCTCAGCTCTGAATCTCTCTGGCCCTCATTGGGTCTACTAAAGAATCCACTTACTTTCTGGTTCTAGGGATTTTTGCTTATTTCATATCAGGTTTCAGGATGTTCTTGCCCTTTCTATACATCAGTAATCACTACTGTCTTATGCATTCCTAATCTATCCTAAAGTGGTATTTTACCAAGTATAGCTTTCTGAAGCACTGATTGTTCCACTAATTTTCTAGTGAATTATGTCCTCCTATTGTGATACACAATTTATTTCTAGTATGGTTAGTTTTTCATGATACAATTTATTTTCCCTTAATTCTAAAGTCCTTTCAAAATATAGGCCATATGATTTTATGTTAAAACTGTATATATTTAAAGTAGACATGTTTGATATTCCATTTTACACACACACACACACACACACACACACACACACACACACAGACCATCCCTGATCCAAAATACTCAAAAATTAAAACCTTTTTGAATGTTAACGTGAGGCCTTAAGTGGAAAATTCCATGATTCACCTCATATAACAGTCAAAATTGAAGCAAAAGCACACTATAAATGTTGTATAACATAAGTATGATTAGCTTTAAAGTATGGTTAGTTTTATACAGCCTTCAGGTTACATACACTAAGTGTATATAGAATGTGAATGAATTTTGTGTTTAGACTTGGGTTCCATCTCCAAGATATAGCATCCAAAAAGTATGAGAAACTCTGGTCCTAAACATTACAAGTAGGAGACAAGGATCTCTTTCTCTCCCCTTCCTCCTCCCTTCTGCCCCTACCAACGATTTTTTTATCCATTCATCTACCAGTGGACACCTACATTATTTCCGTATCTTGGTTGTTGTGAATAATGCTCTAATGAATATGGAAGTGCAGATGTATTTTTGAGGTGCTAATTTTATTTCCTTCATCTGTACATCCAGAGGAGGGATTTTGCTAGATGATATAGTAGTTCTACTTTTTATTATTTTTTTGGAGGAACTATCAAACTGTTCACCATGATGAGTATACCAATTTATAGTCCTTCCTACAGGAATACAAGGGTTTTTTTTCTCTTATCTTTTTCAACAGCTTTTATCTATTATCTTTTTTATAATATATTTTGGAACAGGTGTGAGGTGACAGCTCAATTTGTTTTTGATATGTATTCCCCTGATATTAGTGATGGCAAGTAGCTTTTCATATACCTGTTAGCCATTTGTATATTTTCCTTGGAAAAACGTCTTTGAGATCCTATGGCCATTATAAAAATCATATTGCTTATTTTTTGAAATTAAATTTGGAGTTCCTTATGTACTTTGGATACTAATCTCTTACTTGATATATGGTTTGCAAATATTTTCTTCTAATTTGTAGGTTGCTTTTTGGTAATCCCATTTGTCTATTTTCACTTTCGTTGCCTGTGCTTTTGGTATCATATGTAAAATATCACTCTCAAGGTCAATGTCAAGGAACTTCATGTTTTCTTCTTGGACTTCTACATTTTTGGATCTTATGTGCAAGTCTTTCATCCATTTTGGGTTGATTTCCATGTATAGTGTAGGATAAGGATCACATTTTATTCTTTTATATGAGGATATCCAGTTTTTCCTACATCATTTATAGAAGAGATTATTCCTTTGCCATTGTGTACTTATGGTACCCTTGTTGAAGATTAGTTGGCTTGAATATATTTGTCAGCTCTTGATTTGTTCCATTGGTTTATGTGTCTGTTCCTAATGCCAGTACCATACTATTTTGATTACTAGAGCCTTGTAATATAATTTGAAATCAGGAAGTGCGATGCCTCTAACTTTTTTCTTCTTTCTCAAGATTGCTTTGACTAATCAGAGTCTCTTATTGTTCAACATGAATTGTACAATTGCTTTTTTTTATTTCTTTGGAAAATGCCAATAGAATATTGATAAGGATTGTGTTGAATCTATAGATTGCATTGGGTAGTACTGACATTTTAAAAATATTAATTCTTCCAATCCAAGAATACAATATATTTGTGTCCAGTTTCTTTCATCAATGCTTTATAGTTTTCAGTGTATAGATCTTTGTGTCTTTGGTTATCAACTGTAAAATTTCTAATGTCAACAACCATTCTGCAGTCCAGATTTCTGTATTTCCTACAATGCCTAGCACAGAGCCAGGTAATCATTAAAACATATTTATCAAATAAAGTGTCCTATTTTTACCATCTATATTTTAATGTAACTTTCTATGCTGAAGATTTTGGGGACATATACATTTCTGTTTCATAAAGCCTGTGTCCAAGCCAGGTACAATGGAGCATGCCAGTAATCCCAGCTACTCTGGAAGCTGAGACAGGAAGGTTAGAAGTTTGAGGCCATCCTGGGTAACTTAGCAAGACCCTGCCTCAATAATAAAAAGGGCTGAAGATTCAGCTCAGTAGTAGAGTGCTTGCTTAGCATCCATGCATCCCTGGGTATACACCACCAAAAAAAAAGGAAAAGATGTCCAGGTTGTAAATGTTGCCCTGCTTACCAACTTAGAGGAGTTTTTTCTTTATCACATCCTATTTCTGGCCTTCCTTTATCTTCTAATTCTTAAGAGTTTATAGATACTTGCTCTCAAGTACCAAACCTTCAGTACAATTGCACAGAATGGTGAAGTATAGCCTTGTCCCTTCATATCTCTGTTGTCTCATGCCTGAACACCTGCAAATACAAAATAGAACCTTTCCTGACCAGAAAGTTTAGACGCTGAAAGCCAAAAGGAATTGTGAATTATGGTATCGGAAATATGGAAATCCACAGGGAACTCAGGTGATGAAAAGCCAACGAGATTGGTCTGTGAGTGTGTGTGTGCGTGTGTGTATGCGCATGTGTGTGTGCACACTGTGTATATTAACAGCATCAGGAGACATCAGTATTATTAATACATTTCTGTAGATCTTCTGGAGAAAAAAATCACTGTAATTGTATAAAATATGAAGTAAAATCATTTTCATCAATTATCTTTTACATCAAATTTTGTCCAGTACATCATATCCTATGCATGTAAGTAAATTATGCATATAAGTAAACCTGTTGCCAGTATTTCCATATTTGATTATACTATTCTTCACCATATCCAGTCTTCACAATCTGTTACTTGTATAGCATTTTATGTTCTCACAATTTTAAAATTGAGAAAGAACATGTTTATGATTTCTCTAATGGGTAGGCTCATAGGTCACAATACACTGATCACACACTTTGCTTACCCATTAAATAGTAAATGTAAAATTTTAAGAAAAAGTATGCATTTAGCTATCACCTAATTAAAGTATGTATCATCACTTTGGCATCACTCTTACAAAAAGGTTTCATATTAGGTTTATTCATTCGCTATATCATATAAGTAGTGGAAAGAATGTGAGTCTATATATTCAATTACATTATTTAATAAAGAAAATATATACCATCATGATAATATGTATTTTAAAATTAAGAACCCCCCCATCTTACAAAATATAAGAAAGTATTTTAAAATCAGATATTTTTGGAAAGAGCATCTGGTTGTTTACTGCCTGGCTCCTACTCTTCAGGAGAGCTGCCAGCAGGGAGAAGGCATCTCACTTCTCCATGCTGGAAGTCTCTGAGGAGCAGGTGCCCTGTGTGGTCATCCATCATTGTCCACCAAGGAGTGGACAAGCTTATTCTGAGGTTCAGGACCAGGAACTGGCTGATTACAGATGGTTATCCTCCACCCTAGTCTTTATCAATATGAAAGTAATCTACTAACCCTGTTGCTTTATAGGTTGATTTGGAATTTGAATAAAGAAGAGAGTTGCTACTTATTTAACCTTTGCAAACGGCTCCAGAATTTTTGGTAGCGTTCAACTCATTCTAGGATAGGAAGACAGGAATAAGGCTAACTAAATGTAATGTAAAGCGACAAATGTGACACAATCTTTGTTCAATGGTATCCTTGCCAAGTATGTTTTGAGACAGAGAAAACTAAGAATTTGGAGTTGAACTGTAAGTCCTTCATCTTTCCATCAGGTCTCTGTCTCTTGGATATATAATACCACTTTAACAAAAGAGACAAAAGTCCTTTCTTAAACTATGGGGCTTAAATTTGGCAACACACCAAAGTTAGTTTGATATTAGATGTCAAAGTTGGAAGTTTTAGTGTTCTAGCTCCTTAACTTTTGAAATAGTAAGTTACCTTTATAGGTTGGGACAGTGTCCAACTTTCCCTTTTTAACTTGTTGTCTTTCCAAAGATCGAAGTATTGCCACAGGCTGCACTTTATAAGATTTAAAATCTTGTTTGTAGGTAGTGCCAAGATCAATCTTCCCCTGTTTTGGTTTATATTCTTCTGGTATGTGGCGAGATTGTCTCACTATTTCATAAGGACGATAATCTGACCTGAAATAAATAAATTTGAAACATAGCCGCACACATTCTTTAACTGCAATTTCTCCATATTGTAATTTCAGTTTTTTCTTAACTGAAAAGTCTAAAAAGATATTAAAATGGCAATAATGGATGAAGCATTTGAAAGAAGTAATTGAATACCTTTATAAGGCTCTATCTTGTGACTGCATAGCTGAAGAAAATATGTCAAAAGTCCTAGCTTTTAAAACATCAAAAGAGATCCTCAGTTAATTTAATCTCAAGTAAATAAAATCCTCAAGTAATTGAGTTTTTTTTCTGATGTGGAAGGAAACCTCAGGTGAAAGGTTTTATTAAACTCCAAAGTATAGAAGTATCTCCCTGCATCCACTTTGTCAAAATCTTTACTCATCCTGCATAAAGACTCTCGTATACTATTTAGGCGTCCTTCCTTCCTGTCGAAGTCATGCTGTCTTCCTGCTCGCTGGGAAATGATCAGTGACTCTATAAGAGTGACTGGTGGACGGACAATTCATTAACTACTATTATTTTTATTTCAATGTTAGCTAGCAATATTATCCCGAGTCCTCATAGATTGCTTTTCTTCTAGATTTTGTTGGCCATGCCATCATTTTAACTATCTTGTATTAATGAAAACTTTTCACATATGTTGATGAGCTCACACACACACAAAAAAAAAAAAAAAAAA